AAAATCGTAAATTTGTAGATCTTTGACGATAACTCGGAGCTTTCAGCGAATTTTCAACTTTTTTTACGGAAAGACATTTATGATTCTTGACGGAAAAAGTTTCTATAGAAATGGGTATACGAAAAATGTTGTCTTTGAGAGATACGACTTGTTTCACTTGCAGCATATATTCAAGATTTTGCTGCCTTTGTTTTGTCGAGGTTGTCACCTTATCGTATAAATGTAAATTTGTAATTTTTATTTAAATAAAAACAGTGGCACGGTGGTTAGAAAATTGAATAAAAGTTCATTAGAGAACGATCGGTGCAAAGGGACTGAATTAACAGAGAGATTTCAGCTTTGTTCCTCTTTAAGGATCCGCATTAGGAGGACGGTGTGGCTCGTTTGTTCGAGTCGGAAGATCAGAGGTCGCAAATTACAGGCTCGGCCCTGACAATGAGTCAAGTGCACTCGCAAAGACATTGCGGTTCGACGAATACGTTCGCATCGGTGTTCGATTCAAGAGGAATCGGTAACGGTGCAGTCGTTAGTTAATTCACGAAATCACGGCCAGCACTGTCTAATTAACGACACGTTTGATTATGGTATTCGCGACCGACTACATACCTACTTTGTCGTGTTTCCTACGTTTACAGCGCACATTTTAAGCTATTTCCGGGTGTAACCGGGGGAACGAAATTAGCGGTAAATAAAGAACAGGAGGATCAACGACGAACGATAATGAATAGCGAAACGAGCGACGAGTACGCTATTATAGAAGCACGGTAACGACAAGGAGAGGAGGATCTAGCGTTACACGCGGCAAGGTGAGAAGCAACCCTCGTTGCCAAGCCCTTTTCATACCCACCCCAGGTCACCCTTATTTGTTCGTCGAGTCCCGCCGCAAACAATGAGGGAGGATTACGGCCTGTTTACTGTGAATTGAAATTCTTGTAAATTTCCTCTTTGCCGAGGGGGATGTTGGCTCGATTCGTCGGTATTCACGGTATGCCGAATGACTGAAGGATTTCCTAAGATCCGGCACGCAGACTATGCGCTTCGTGCTCTTCCTTCTTCTGTTTCATCGTTTTTTCATAGCGTACAAATCGTGATACATACACATTGCGTTGGTGAACGCGAAGAGATAATTGTATCGAAATATTGAAAATTCTTGGAAATGGATTTTCACGAGGGGTATTTTCGAATTACTTGGTAATATTGTATGATTTCATTGGATATCCGAGTCTTTGATTCACACACTGCCACGTTTCATTGTTTCGGTTAATTAACCAGGGATTATTAATTACAAATCACTGATTGTTTATCACGTTTCAACGCGGTAATACACGATCGATCTATTACGATTGTAACACATTGCAAAATTGTGAGATCAAAGCGGTGTACATACATACTAGTCGCCATATATTATTACGTTTATCGAAGGAAATATGAGAAAGAGGTTAAACGTTATTCAGGTGGTGAGTATTACTTAAATGTTCGTTTTCATCGCGAATCAAAGGGTATTTTCATTGTCCGCATCGTTGCAACGGAACACGAATGCACTGTCACTGAATACAAATCGTATTATCGTTGGAAATCCGATTACAAAGGTGTTTTATGTTCGCGCTATTGCGAGTATTCGCGTTACTTCATTCTTTGCTCCATCCTTTAATCCTCTTACACGTTGCGCTGCGAGAGAAAGAAAATAGAATGAAAGAAGTATGTTCTTATGCATTTTCTTCTTCTCAACACGAACGGTTGTGATAAAATTGCCGTTTCCAACTTTCCGTCTGTTTGAACGAAAGGGTTAATTTCCTATCCGAGTATATTCTAATTCTGTTTCGTGGGCCATCGTCAAAGAGAAGGTCCGCGTTCTGCAAATACCGGTCCCTCTTCTTGTCGCTTTGCACGTAAACCTAATTGCCGGGCCCGGGCTGATCGGCTAGCCAGCTAACACCCACTCCTAACGCTTCCGCACCCTGTATTTCTCGCTATCGTAATTTGTACGCTCAATTATCTCCATTGTTCCCATGATCGGGCGCGAACACAATCGATATACAATGGGCGTTTTCGTTTGTTTGCTAACCTCCGCTTCGGTCCGCCACAAAGCGCGTCCGAACGGAGCAAAGCGTAGAGCTACGTGGCTGGAATCAACGTCGGAATCAACGCTGCAATCGGCAGCATAGATCACATCCACCACCCGAACAAATAGAAACAGAATGTACATACTGCCGTTTAATCATTTTCAATGTCTAACTGCTGCGGCATTCTTCTTCCTTCCTTCCTTCCTTCCTTCCTTCCTTCCTTCCTTTTACCACCAACTCTGAACGGATATTTGTCTTGTTGCTGAGCTGCTGAGCTTTTCATCCGACCTCTTTCCTCAGATTTTCTTTCATGATTTCGATCTTTTCATTTGATTGTTTTAACAGATCTTTTGTGAATCGTTGAAGATTTCAGTTACGTTTCCAGCATACCTGAAAAATGATAGAAGACTCACAGTGAGCTTTTCATTAAAGCCGTTTGATATTGTCAGTGTTGCAATACTGTAAAGTTTGCATAGTGGTTTAGAACTTGCTGGAATTGTGGGGAGATCTGGTTAACGCCCTGGGTTGTTGCGGCAGAACTTTCTCCTTAACGCGTTTCTCGATATTTCGTATCAAAGGTATTCCGTATCAGAGCAACAAATTTTTATTGTTATCCATAAACAAAGCTTATCGAAAATAAAAACAAAATATTCGTATCTAAGGAAAAATATTTTCGTCGAAAGTTATAAAGCAGCTCGGAAACGCAATAAACTGACTATGCATCGGTTTGCTCAATTCACAGCCGCAATTTCTACTTCTCCTTTTCGTATAGCTTGGCCCGAGTAAATACTTGGAGACTCTGTAGATTGCTCGTCCCCGAGATGCATCGTTTTGCCAGAGACGTTTTGCATGTTCCTATATGTATGTATACCGGTAAATTAAGATTCCCACTGTTTGCGGAACCCTCCTACGATACCAGCTACACAATCTTGCTCGAGTTGACCAGCTTCGGTAACAGTTTCTGATTAAAAAATAATTTAATAGGATATTTAGGTTGAAAGAGCTTCGACAATAGACGCGTTTCGAATTACGTTCGTTAAGGAAGTTTCGAGTAAAAGATCGGCTGACCAAGTTCGACGGCTCATTATTTCCAATTTGAAGGGATCCTTGCCTCCTTGCCTCCTTGCTGACGGCCATTTCGCGGAGTTAGTTGCAAATTACTAGGGAAATTACAACGTCGGCTCGGTCTGACTCGGCCAGACTCGGCCAGGTGTAATTTCACCGGCACGATAGTCGAAATCGCTGGATGCTATCTCTATCGGGGGCTTTAACCAACCAACGTTTAGTTCATCGATTTAACTCCACTATCCCTCCTTTACATTTCCACTTTTACTTCAGCCTAGAAAAAACTTGGAAATTAGAAGAGAATTTTATAAAAGTTGAAGTTTTCAATTTTGTTTAGTTGTAGAGAGAGAGAGAGAGAGAGAGAAAAGAAACACAGCTACGCAGAGAGGAAAAATAGAAATCGTAACGATTTCACTTGCGATTTGCACGAATCTCGTAACCTTTGATCCACAAATCACGTCAATTAAAGCCCCTGGTCTGTTGAGCCACGTAAATTGGGAAACGTAGCCACGATCGATACGGTTGACCCCTCGATCCCTCGACCCCCGATCCTCCAGGACGATTGTGAACTATTTTAACCTGGACGTTTCCATTTTGCCGGCTCCGTGGTCTCCGCTGTAATTGCAGCTTGCGTTATGCAAGACGACCAGACAAGAGACACGACGTAACCGCATTTTGCCAGCGTAATTTCGTGCCGTCAACTTTAACCCTTTGCTCTCGAACCGTGCTGATTATTCCTTACACTCGCCTTACACGGTAGTTATGATACTACTGATAGCGAGCAAGTCGCCTTTCTCTTACGAAAAAGCTCACTTTTCTTACTTCGTTTTACAACTAACTTTACGGATATATCCTGAAGTTTGATATTAAAATTTTCCTCGAGACACTGGAGACGAATAGATAGAAGCAGCGCGAAAACGATTGTTATTTCCTTGTAATCCGTATGCTGCGTCGCGCCGCGCCAGTCTAATCTTCGGATTCATGAATGAAAAGGAAAGAAAGTTTCATACCGCTGAAACTTCGAATCTCACGAGGTAACGATAAATCGAGAGATATATGGAATAACTTTTTATTGCGGTCGACCGGTTCGTAGGTATAAATTTTCCTCCTCTTGTCATCGCTAATTCAGAACGCGACGAATTGCTTTCTTTTATCTTTAACAAATTTTAATGATATCATTGCTATTAAGATCGGAGTATTTATATAATAGTTTATGTACGTCTGAAGGTTGTTCGGTGACGAACGAGACCATCGTGAAATGTACAGCTATTTCATTACTATCTCATGATTGATTGCATCGCGTAGATAAACGCGTCTCGCGTCGAGTTAACGTCAGATATTATTTAAATGAATTATTATCGAGGCCGGTTCGTTCACCGGTCCTTGAACTCTTCTAGATTTATTTTCTCTGACGCTTCTCTGTTCACGTGTTACGGTTTCAAAGTTAAATATTTTTCTGATTGGTCGTGAAAGCATCAGGAAGGAAAGAAATTTTTTCCATGATACGTTGACCGGACGTTTGAGTTATCGAAAAATCTTTTATGTACGATGGTCAGCTTGAAAAATACCAAGCGCGTTTAAATTTCATGGAGCAATTGTTGTAGTATACTTTCTCAACTAACAAAGATTCGAAATTTCAAGCAACTCGATCGATCTATCTTTTAGTTAAATTGAAAACGCCAGTCTAGACGTGATAGAAAATTCAGCGAAGGGCTCTCGTGATACAACGTTACATTTTCCCCATCAACTCGGGGGCCCATGAAACTTGGAATCTAGACGGATTCGTCAGCAGCATCGAGCAGACACTCTCGATTAATCCCAGTCTGGCTTGATTCTTTTATTTTCTTTTTTTTCTTTTTTTTTTGCTTTCAGTCGTTGAAAGAGAAACCGTAGCACGAGGGGTGGAGAAGGCGGTGGAGAAGGGCAGAGAGAAAGTAATTTCGGTGGAAAAGGAAAAGGAAAAGGAAAAGAGGCAAAATGGGAGAGAATCATCATCAACAACAGCAGCAGCAGCAGCAGCAGCAGCAGCAGCAGGAGGAACAGCAGCAACAGCAGCCGGTTCTTCGTTCGATCAACAACGTGCACAGATCGTTTGTTAAATTTATTAACAAAACGCTGCACAGCGTAATTTTGTATTGGATCGACTATCAAGGTCAGGCAGTCAGCTACGGTGTATTGGCACCTGGTGATTGCCGCGATATCGACACGTTCGTCACTCATCCGTGGATCTTCGTAGACAAGGAGACCAGAGACAGGTATTAAACTCTTCCAGTTATTAACTCTTCCAGTTAAGAAAGTATTTTCATCGAAGTTCGGTAACTGTCGTATTCAGGTATACAGTGAATCAGAAGGATGTATTCTTTCCCGAGCCATGGTTCGTCAGGTATCGAGGGCTAAGGCGAAGCGAGTTGCCGCAAAGATTCGAAAGAACCAATGTCTATATCATCTTGCCTGTTTACACGCTTCGTGAGTTGTCTTTGAGAGCGATCAAAAGGCGCCTGACTTATGATCGTCAAGCGTTTCAACTGGACATTCCGAGGAGTCTTCAGCACGAACTGGCGATCATGTTGCCGCGAAACGACGACGATAACGAGGAAGATGTAGACGAGAACGAGGACGATCATGGTAGTCGAAATTCTTAGCGATCGATCCTGAATCTTCTTGACCATTCACACTCAGTAAGTCAATCACACTCGAACGATTCTATTGATATTCTCCGGGGGATCGGATGTATCGAGAAGTTCGCGAGAAAAGTGACGCTAAGGAAATTTATCTTTCTCTGCTTTTCCAGCTTCAAAGAGATCCTTTCCAATCGAATTTTTCGGTTTTTCATGATGCAATATTCAGACTGCTATCTACTCAACGCTTCTGAATATTTCAGCTTTTCTTAATACTTTATTTCCCCAAGTATTATAATTATGTTGCTTTTCTCTCGAATAAATCGCGCGATACGTGTACATACCTGTAAAATATGTATCTTATCGTTTGAATTTCTTCTCAAACTCGTCGAAATTCTTGGATAGTTTTTTAATCCCTTTTTTCGACAGTTTAAAGGCAATAGTAAATTGGGAAAGGATTTTTGAAAAACGGGTCGAAACGTGCCATCTTTATATCTCAAATATCGTTAATTAGCAATCGTTCGAAAGAATGTACATTTTTCACAATTTTTATCGAGCTTCTTAATTATTTTCAAACATCATTTATTACTTAATTTTAATACTCTGATCATAGCTGATTAACAAATTTATTTAATTAGCAATTGTTATATTATGCAATATGTAGATCACACCGATGAAATCGGTGTTGCAATGAAAATAGAATCAGTGGTATTTTTTACACTTGATATTTTTGTAATCAATACATACTTGCTCCGATCGTCGACGCGTTGTTTCATTAGAAAGTCTCATTTATAACAACTTATACAGTGGCAATCTCTTACTAGTTCGATGTAAGTTATTCCCATTCCAAGTATATTAATTTTAAAATACTTTTATTAAAGAGTAAACATTCTTTTTTTTTGTTTTTTTTTTTATATTAGAACTGTTATGAAAATTCGAATATTTGACAATTAAATATTCTATACGTTTATCACTATTCCAAATATTTTACGCGTTTGTTCATTTTAAAGAGACACATTTAACAAACGATAAAATAAAGCAATAAAGATATTTCAAACGATATTAGATTTTCATTTATAATACCAATCGAACAAGATAATGATCCTACATTTTACTATACCGTTTCCTAAAAATCCTTTCAGCTTTCCATCAATCATCATTTCGAATCGAAGAGAAATGAAAAGAAGATCCTTTTCCTAAACACCAGAAATATAACAGAAATGTCGAAAGCAAGAGGATGCATTGTCTGTGAGCCATCGATCGACTTCTGTAAACTTTTCCATCGCATCGACGAAAGGGAATCCAAAAGACGATCAACGTTTCCAGAGAGGGTAAATCGCGACGGCTGGTCGGTAATCCAGCCTCGTTTCCGCAATTCGTAAGTAGAGTTAGAAAGTTATTAAACCGTTCCTCCTAGCTAACCGTCCTTCCGTAATCAACGATGCGCGGGTATACCTATGCGCCGAACAACTTTCCTTCGGCATGTTTCCGTTTAGCGAAGTGCATACGTGCCTTGATTAACCATTAGCCGAGTAAAATACACTTGGCCACGAAACAGAAACGGACTCTTCGTAGAATAATATCTACCGGCTATTATCGTCTCTGTCAAGATTTTGCTTACTCGAGCCCATTTCCCTCGTTCGTTGGAAAAAGAAAATTTTCATTTGAAATTCACGTCTTTCGTCGCCATTATACGATACTAATCGTAACTTGATCACGATTACTATTCGCGGAGACGACGGTCAATTAAATACACGGCAAATGGACTTTGGTTACTAGCTCGTTAATCCAGTTCGTTCCTAATGGATCTTAAACGCAGGATGAAATGTCACAGAGTGGTGGAAATCTAATGAGCCACCTGCAGGAAATCTTGCAAGCGTAACGTTCTCGCGAGATTTATCAAGTAGATCGTTTCTTCCAGTAGCACCCGTACCAGTCACTTTGATCTCGTACCTGTCTCGTTTAACGTTCAAACTCTATTTTAAACGGAAGACGAAGACATTAACACTTTGATGGCTCTTAACTTTGACGCAATGAAAAAGGTACTGCTGCATTAACTGTTCGTAATCTTTCCAAGTTCACAGACCTACCAGACTGTTTCTTGCTTCTTTTAATACATTCCTATATTCAGATTTATTATAATTTTTATATTTTTCACAAATATTCCAGATGGTAATGAATTTTAAATAATTCACACGTAAATCCATCACAGTTTGTAAAATTTCTACTTCTCATCAATCTCTGTCCCATTTAACGCTATATCGAGAGAGTAACGATGAAACGTGTCGATAAATAGTTTGAAAGAAGAAACGTTTCCGGGGTTTTGTACTCGGTTGAATCGTTTGGACGAAGAGAGAAGGTGAAAAGGGAGAACATGGTGGAAGAATACCCTGTTTGCGGTATTCAAACACTCATCGGTTTTACATTGAACGTGGCTCGGCGCACTGGCTCGGTTTACCTTTTATTTACACACGAAAATACGTTTCGTGACTCGTGACTCGTGATTCGTGACTCGTGGTGACTGGTATCTTTGTCGTGACCCATTATAGGTACAGCTTCATTCTGGCGACTAGGACAGTTCTCTAGCTCTATTTCAACGGGAAGATTACAAAGAAAATTTTGCAAGAAATTAACTTAATTAGATGCTTCTCTTTGAATATTGTTTTGAAAATAGAATATAGTAGTAGTAGTAGGTGTTGCAATTTATAAATATTTATATAAAGAATCATTACGGAGTCATCATGGAGTTAAATTTTGAAATTGCAATAGGGAAGCTATCGAGCCGTTAATACTCTCATTTTGATACTGTATTGCAATCTACCAACGCGTAGGAAACCATTACCTCGGTGTTAAATTTTCAAATTTACAATAACCAAGTTATCAACCCGTTAATACTCTCGTTATATAAGCTAATACTTTGTCGTAGCACTTTGTGTTTCAATTTCTAAGGGTGCATTATCTTACGAGTATGCAATTTTCAAACTAGCAATACAGTTATCCACTGGTTAATATTTTCATTTCACGAATCAATAGTTGAACATAGTACGCTACGTCCGTTAAGAAAAATCGTTATGCAAACGGAACCTTTCTTCCGCTTCTCTTTTCCTCTCCGGCCGCGATTACGCTTCTGATTTCCCAATACTCGTCCGGTCGATGAACGCGATAAATGGATGGTCGGTGGAATTATTTCCTTCGAACGAACCAGACCTGATCACAGAAATGCTAGGCGTCCAAATTACGCCGACGCCGACGTCGACGTCGACACAAGCATCATAATTCATTAGACGCGCGCCAATACGCAGGAATAATGAGCCAGGAATCTTGCATCGGTCTCTATTTTCCAGTCTGACCTTAAGTTGATTTTTATCGTGTTCGATTACATCAAAGAGCAAATGTTTTGATCCCTCGTTGATCTGCAAATACCGAATAGAGGCGGAATGATGTAGCTGGATTTATAACGAGGAGCGAATAAAAGTATGGTCAGAGTTGTAATGACATAAAGGGTGAATAGAGGACGGTTGAATGGGTCGCGTAGGTATTACGAATATCACGGAGTAAACTAAATAGCTGGACGGAAAGGGAGAGATGAATCTGCGTGGCCAGAGGAAATGCCGTTCGCGAAACACCGGTTCGCCGTTGTTTATCTCTCGTCGCATCCGTTTTAATGCCCGTTATAATCGCGCGGAATGAAAAGCCAATGGGTTCCACTCTTTGACGCGATATTTCGACATTAATCCCCTTCTATGTCTGCCGTCCTTCCCGTTTCGAAATTGTTGCAAAACGAGCGTGAACGTTCGTGTAGTAATTAGTTGGCCGGCAGAACGGCCGTTATCGCGTGTTCCCGCATAAATAATGCAATCACACGGGGGGCCAAAGGTAAATTACGCGGCTGCTTTGTTTGCTCTCAATGGGATGCCTAATAAATGTTAATTACCAATTACTCGCTTCTCTTAACCCTTTGCCGTAGCGAACACAGGGATCTTTTTTAGATTCTTTCAGGGTTTCGTATGTCGGTGCCTCTGCTTTTCTTCTTGTTTGAAATAAAAAATAATTCGTAATTCGAACAGGCGAGCCGAGTAATTGGTACGATGTTTGCGCTACGAGATATTTGAGGGAAAGGTGGATGGAGAGAGAAAGAGGATCATCGCGGGGATGAAATTAATAATATGAGATTCGTAATGGAAGATCCGCTGGAATTAATAAGCGTCGTAATTACTTGGGAAATTGAAAGGCGAACTTAATTAGCGACTTGAAATTTTAAAGGGAAAACTTGTGGGGGTAAGATGGTTTAACGTTAAATTATGTTGTTGACTCAATTTATGATGTATCTACTTTTTCATTTGTCATGCTGGGTTCAAAATTCAATTTTCGACATATGAACCGATTGACAGACAACCGCTAATTAAATTGTCAGAGAAACTTCTTGCCTGGAATTTCCATTTTACATTAATTACACGGAGCTGGTTTTGTTCCCTCGCACGCGCTGCTGCGTTCGCGTCCATAGATCCTGTTTCTCACGGTCATATTTAGCCGTATGTTAAATCCCATCGCAAAATTCGAGTCCTTTATTTTCTCCTTCTAATTTTTGTTAATTTAAATGATAAAAAATGATCAAGTTGTTCAACTTAAAATTAGTTGCATTTCTAGACGAGACGAGGGTGAGATGCAGTTTGCTTTAAGTCACGATTTATATGTTTGTAAACATATTTACCTGTCGGTTTGTTTCGCATTTACCCTGAACCATTTCGCGTGGATCAGTTTACCGCACGTATGGTTGACCTAATGCGATAAATAATCCGAGAACAAATGTCCCTGTCGAAATGTTGATCGTTCGTTATCCCAACAGACTCTGATTACTTAAAGCAATCCAGGTACTGTAAAAAAATAGAGTTAACGTGTTTCTATAGAAATCTTAATTTCCTACTTCGTCGAACGCAATTTGCGAGGAACAATTCGTGGTATACGTCTAATTTGCAGTTAGCCGTACAGCAACTGTAAAGCAATTAGTAGCTGTAAATAGATGTTAATTATAAGTAACTAGAAGAAAACGGTAACGCGTCGTGTCGATTGTTCTTCTAATGAGATTTCGACGACCGCGTTCCGTAGGATGCAGTCAACCCCTCTGTTACGTTCGCCACGACTTGGCGATTGCTAATTAATTGGCGCGCTAATTAGGACAGCCTGGCTGGGACGTTTGTGCAGCCTCCCTTGGAAATGTCGAAGCTTCGATACGTACGTATGTACGTCTTGATTGCCGTGTCCTTTATTGAATTTATGCCTGTAGAATCTATATTACCTATATCTAATCCTTGTGCGATATAATGCGTGACATGGTTGAAAGTTGTTGAAATTTTACTCCTTTTTCGAATACGATAAAAATCCAGCTTTTCGTGTTCCATTTACGAGCGTATTTTAAAACGGTAGATCGATACGTCTATCGAACAATATTATCAGTGTCAATACCTGTCCTGTATTTAGTTGAACCAAATATTTGGTCCATTAGTAGTAATCCAGGATAACTAAGTTATTTCGATTAAAACGTTGCACCGCGCCGGTTAATTTATCCGCGGATCTTGCTACCGTTACGTATCTACTTGAAAATTGTAAAATCATTCGAATATCGAGATCGCGATCTCGCGAGAGGTTAAAAGGGGTAGACGATTCGTCGAATGAAATGCAATTAAATCGTTAACGAGAATATTGCGATATTAAAATCTCCTCGAAATTTAACGACTGGAAATATTAATTAAAATACATTGCGATAAATAAATTTTCCAGCATGGAAAATGAAAGAGGGAAAAAAATGGAGAAAAATCTTCGTAAATGTTTACTCGATATATCCTGACTGTGTGAATATGGAAAATAAAAAACATTTGCGGTTGTTTTTATACAAAGTAAATAGATATACTTAATCAAACATGGCTGCAGTCAATTTGCTGGTGTTAAGTATATCGTTGTC